CCATAATCCTATAACATAATATTCAAAATGTCCAAGGTAAAATCCACAATTACTTGTTATTTGAAGACCCAGGAAAATCTCTCAAAGGGGAAAGATGAAAGGACAATAAGAGACAACAAGTCTGAGATGACATGGTTGTTGGAATTGAGACATTAAAGCAGCTGTTATAATCATGCTCTAAGAAGTAAGGGCAAATCCCCTCGAAATGAATAGTCTCATCAGAGAAACAGATGATATAGAAAGAACCAGATTGAAGTTTTAGAAACAAAAAATACAATAACCAAAATGAAAAAGATTAATTGCATGAACTCAGTAACAGTATGCAGATGATAGAAAAGTCAGTATATTTAAAGATACTTCAATAGGTCAACATAAATCAATATAGATAGATCAATACAAATTGTCCAGTTGAACAATAGAAAGGAAATAGATTGAAAAAATAAACAAATCCTTAAGAACCCATGGGACAATGCCAAAAGGTCTAACATTCTTGTAACCAGAGTCTCAGTAGGAGGGGAGAAATAGTGTAGTACAGGAAAAAAACGTTTTTTTCAAGAAATAATGGCTGAAAACTTTAAAAATTTGATGAAAGACTTAAAAGTTACAGATTCCAGAAGCTTAGTGAACAACAAAAAAAAACTCAGGGAAAGCCATGCACAGCCATATCAGAATCAAACTATAAAACTAAACATGAAGGAAAAAAAGTCTTGAAAGCAGCCAAAGCAAAACAATGCATTCAACAGAGGGAACAACAGTTTGAATTACTGAGAATTTCTCATCAAAACCAGAGGCCAAAACATTTCTTAAGTGCTGAAAGAAAAAACAAAACCGGCAACCCAGAATTCTGTATTCTGCAACAATACCCTATAGGAACGAAGGTGGAATTAAGACATTCTCAGATGAAGGAAAACTAAGGGAATCTATTGTCAACAGACTTGCTCTGAAAGAAATGCTAAATGAAGTTCTTCAGGCAGAAGGGAAATGATACCAAAGGAAAGCTTGGAACATCAAGAATAAAGGAACAGGGGCTTCCCTGGTGGCGCAGTGGTTGAGAGTCCGCCTGCCGATGCAGGGGACGTGGGTTCATGCCCCGGTCCGGGAAGATCCCACATGCCGCGGAGCAGCTGGGCCCGTGAGCCATGGCCGCTGAGCCTGCGCGTCCGGAGCCTGTGCTCCGCAACGGGAGAGACCACAGCAGTGAGAGGCCCGCGTACCACAAAAACAAACAAACAAAAAAAAAAAAAAAACAAAAAAAAGAATGAAGGAACAGCAACAGAAATGGTAAATATCTGGGTAAACAGATTAATTTTTTCTCTTAAGTAAGTTCTTTAAAATATGTATGATGGTTGAAAGCAAAAAACATAGCATTGTCTGATGGGGTTTTCAACGTATGCATTTATAACATGAATGACAACTACAACTGAAAAGAAGAGGGTAAAGGGACCTATATGGTCTTCACTCCATCCGAAGTGGCAAAGTACTCTTGAGTTGACTGGAAAGTTAAGTATGTATACTGTAAATCCTAGAGCAACTTCTAAACAAATAATACAAAGAGACATGGTAAAAAACTCAGTAGATGAATTAAGATGGAATAAAAAAAATGTTTTTAAAATCCAAAAGGAGGCCCAAAAGATGAAAGAAAGAAATGAAACACAGAGCAAACAAATAAAAAACAAAAAATGAAATGGTAGACCAAAATCCAAATATATCAATAATTACATTAAATGTAAATAGTCTAAAAATACCAATTAAAGGCAGCAAATTGTTGGGCGTTCTCTAGTGGTCCAGTGGTCAGGACACAGCACTTTCACTGCCATGGCCGAGGGTTCAATCCCTGGTCTGGGAACTAAGATCCCACAAGCTGTGTGGCACAGACAAAAAAAAAAAAAAAAAAGCAAATTGCAAAACGGATTAAAAACAAAGGCCCAACTCTGTCATAACCACACACACACACACACACACACACACACACACACAGACACACACACCATTATAAATATAGTGATATAGGTAAGTTAGAAGTAAAAGAGTAGGAACATATATATCACGCAAACACCAAGTGTATGATAATAAACATGCAAACATCAATTATAAGCAATAGTATTTGTGTACATTGTTGGTAGGAGTATAAATGGTTTAACCACTTTGAAAAATAGCTTGACATTATCTAAAAACGCACACCACATGACCCACAATTCCATTCCTGAGATATTCCCAATAAAAATGCATACCTAGATGCCCTGAAAGATATGTTCTAGAATTTTCATAGCAGTGTTACTAATTAAGACCCCAAATTGAAATAACCCAAATGTTCATAAACAATAGAATGAGTAAAGTGTAGAATATTTATACAATGGAATGCCGTGCAGCAGTGAGTGAACTACAGCAGCACACAACAACGTGGATGAGTTTCCCAGGCATAATGTTGGGCGAAAGAAGCCAGACGCACAGAAATTCATTCAAAATCAAGCAGAACTGACTGATAGGGTTAGACATCATGGGAGCAGACATCTGGGGAGAAGGGAGGGCGAAATGACTGGGTGGCGTCTGGCAACGTTCTATTTCTTGCTCTGGGTGGTGGTTTCATGGTCTGTATGTTTTGTGCATTTTTTCTGTAAGCATATTATACATCAACAAAAACAATTTTGAAATGATTTTTTAAAATCAGAATGGAGGGACTTCCCTGGTGGCACAGTGGTTAAGAAACCACCTGCGAATGCAGGGGACACAGGTTCGATCCCTGGTCTGGGGAGATCCTACACGCCGCGGAGCAGCTAAGCCTGTGCGCCACAATGACTGAGCCTGCACTCTAGAGCCTGCGAGCCACAACTACTGAGCCCGAGTGCTGCAACTACTGAAGCCCACACGCCTAGAGCTCGTGCTCTACAACAAGAGAAGCCACTGCAGTGAGAAGCCCGCACACCGCAATGAAGAGTAGCCCCCGCTGGCCACAACTAGAGAAAGCCCGCGTGCAGCAATGAAGACCCAACGCAGCCAAAAATAAATAAAATTTTAAAAAATATCAGGATGGAAATATTAACAGAGGAGGTGCTGGTCTTACTATGGAAAGGAGAAGCAAAGAGAAGTGATTTCAGGATTAGAGTTAGATGAACAACTACTTGTTAAGCGTCTGCCGTTAGCCAGAACTGTCCTGGAAGTTTTCAAATAGACTATATCTCATTTAACTCGCCCCAACACACAAAGGAGAAAATGTGACGCGCAGCCTCACACCAGGCTCTGACCTTGTCTCACAGTGCATTCACACCTACAGCCCCAGCGAGGCATCAGCTGGACTGGAAGGCGAAGATGTTCTCACAGCTCTAAACTTCTGTCCGTCCCGGCATCCCATTGCCTGTGGTGCATTATGAATCCTACAGCTTTCTTATGAAGAGCCTCAGTAGATCGTGCTATACTTCATCGCATATAATAAAACATGACTTGGCTAAATGTAAAATGTTTAAAATATGCCAAATATTTTACAGCCTTGTTTTGTCACATCTTCCCTTCTAAACATATGAATTGTCTCAGAAGGTAGAAGTGGCTCAGGCCCTGTCCAGGTTCTGGTATTAACTCTACTTCACAGTCCGAGAAAGGTTATTTTCCTTCTTGTTTTCCCTGAGCTGTTCCCATAGACTATGTGCCATGTTGTCGGTGGCTGAGTCCAGGGTATCCTACAGCCCAAGAGAGTGGCCACGGCTGATTTACAACAGTCCGGAGAGGGGGCAAGAGGTGGGATTCCTGGGGCAGTGCCTGCTGTGCTGGGTTCATCCTGCAAATGAGGTGGGGCTGGAAAGCAGGCGGGATCAGGGCCTCACTTCCCCGCTAGATCCCCCCAGGCCTGAAGGAGGGCATGACCGGGCTGGCTTGACGTTTACTCCATGTGCCCTTTGCCTCTCTTTGCAGTGACTTTGCTTTGGGCTCATTTGTCCAAACTCCCCTGTCCCCTGGCTCTCACCCAGCTCTCTCCCAACCAGGCAGAGGCCCAGCAGATTGCTACCCCGACCTGTGCCCGGGAGGGCCGGCCCTGGTTGTTCAGGAACTGGCCTCTTGTGGTGGACATCTCCTGACCCCAGCACACAGAGCAGTCCTCCCACATCCCCTCCACTCCAGGGCTGAGGCCACGGAGGGCAGGGAGAATGGACCTCCAAACCCCGAGCATCCCCAGCAGACTTTGGGGCACAAGGCCTTCCTGCAGGGTGGCAGATTCTCAGATGGACAGGCAAAGGGCCCACATCTCCAGGCCCTTTCTTTAGAGGGAAAGGAGCCACTTGGTCGCTGGGTCACAGCCCTGGAGCTCGGCCAGTAGGCAGGCGGAAGGCAGGAAGGAAACGCTTGGCCCCAAGCCTGGCTCCTGAAGCACCGGCTGGGGTGCTGGGGCAGGGAGGGGGTGCCCACTGGGGCGGATTCTTCCCAGAGAGGGAGGCCTCCTCCGCTGGGAGAGAAAAGTAGGAGAGGAGGATGGTGACAAGGGTGAAGAGAGAGAAGGAAGTGCTACGTCCCCAGGACGGGGCAGGAGCTGGAAGTGAGGGCGGCTCCTCGCCCTCCGGCTTGAGGCCCCCAAGGTGGAGAAGGCGGGAGCAGGGCATGCTGTGACCTTGACTTGACCTGGCAGATTCTTGGTCTCCTCACTTGGAAAAGGGGCAACCCGGTCACGTGCCGGGCTGTGGGGAGCACCAGAGCTGACTGCGGATTTCTTGGCTCCTAGTAGCTCTTCAATAAACGGTCCTTGTTATTCAAGCGGCTCAGCCTGTATTCTGGGCACCCGGTTGGGGTGGTGGCTGTAGCTGGCCTCCCCTGGAGTAGCATGCCTGGGATTCAAAACTTCCTTAGGAGGAAAAGTCTAGGAAGAGGCTCCGGCTCTCCTTCCTTAGCGACTCTGCCCCAGCCTGGGCGAAAGCCTGTCTGATGCACAAACCGCATTTCACTGAGGATTCTCTTGGCTGGAGCCAGTGGAAGGACCTGCTGGGCTGGAACGGTTTTTTTTTTTTTTTCCCTTCCAGGCAACGTCCTCTGATGGGTGTGTCGGGCAGGAGGTGATATTTGAAGGGCTGCGGGCACGGGCTGTGGAGCCAGGGCGCCAGGCAGTGGGTGAGAGCATGGCCTCCCGCGACCCACCTCCCACCAGCTACACCCAGCCCGAAGTACCCTCGGGGATCGCGCTGTTCCTCACCATCCCCTACGCCTTCTTCTTGCCCGAGCTGGTGAGTGGGGCCGTGGGGGCCACCTGCATAAAGTGGGGGCTGGGAGATGCCGGCCTGGAGCTGGAAGCAGCTCCCTGGGGAAGGGGCTCCAAGGCCAGAGCTGCCGTGGCCTCCAGTCTCCCCCATGGGGCTCCAGGCTGGGTGTCCCCTAATCCTTCCCTGAGCACCTCTGGGCTTCTGCAGTATGGGTGGGTCACCTGCTCCCCAAATGAAACCCACCGGGGTAACTGGGCAGGCGACCTGGTGATCGGAGGTGTGGGCGAACTGCTAAAGTATCCTGGGTCCTCAGGAAGATGTTGGGAACGGACTTTTATGATGTGGTTTCTTTTCTCCAACTACTTGTTGTTTGTGCTTTTCTAAAGTTCACAACGGGGGCACTCTGTCTTTCCTTCTGAGAGCAGCTCTTGCAAGATTTTCTTAATTGTCACATCAGCTAACCTTGAACTTGGAGTTGTGTGGCAAGTTGCTTATGATAAGATCTGCCATAGAACAGTCGTGTGAGATGCCCTGGGTGCTCTCCACGACCTGTCACTGCTTTCCTCTCCGGGTCCCTGCAGCTGAAACAGGGCCCCAATCCTTGCTGGGTCCAGAGTGTTCAACAGAATTCGAGTCCACTCCGAGCCGGCTGTCACCATGTCCTTTTCACTGACGGGGATCACAAGTCTGGTGAACAATCTAGGGCAGAGAAGTTTCTTTTGGTTTTCGAGCACCTTCTGAAATATCTAGTTGGTGGGTGGTATTTTCTTACCAACTCTGAGTTTGGCAGTGCTGGCCCCGGGCAGGGAGAAAAAGACAGAAAGTGGTTCTAACTTCCAGTTGGAACTGACGGCCCTGTCACCCTGTCATCTGCCTGGAAGGCTGGCCTGATTGAGTGATCTTTTGGCAAACTGGCTAAAGGGAGCCCATTGATGGCAACATGAAAGCTAAGCCTGGGAATTCCCTGGTGGTCCAGTGATTAGGACTCCGCGCTTCCACTGCAGGGGGCTTGGGTTCGATCCCTGGTTGGGGAACTAAGATCCTGCATGCCCTGTGGCACTGCCTTAAAAAAAAAAAAAAAGAAAGAAAGAAAGGGAAGCCAGCCAGGGTGGGCCCCACGTTTGGGTGGCTCCAGCTGAAACCCCACCCAAGAAGCAGGTTTCTGCCAGGCCTGGCCCCTAGGGGGATACAAGTCAGGGCATCCTGCCAGACTGATGGCATCTCAGCGCTCCTGTGAGTTCTCTGGACCAGGTGTGCCCCTCGCCTCGGAACAGCCACAAGAATGGCCAGGGTCGGGGTCGACTCCTCCCCTTTTTATGGAGCACATGCTCTATGTCGGTCACACCAGCCACTGGCGACAGGACCCATGCCCTCCCAGGTTCCCTGTCTGCTGGACAGAGGCCCGCAAGCACTTCCTCGCTACAGTCAGACGGTGCTTGAGGGGGCGAAGGTCCTGCGCTGTGACACCAGCAAGGAGAGGCCATCCGACCTTGTCACCTCGGAGAGGGGTCCGGGCCTGTCACTGAGGAGGCGACTTTGCAGTTGGACCTCAAAGGACAGGCTGGATTTCCAGGCTGGGAGCAGGAGAGGGAAAGGCCTGGACCCCAGGAGAGGCTGGCAGGTAGGAGGCTGGAGGCATGGGGCTTCAGGAGTCAGGAAAGTACCCGGCAGTCGGCAGTCGTGAGAAGGGCCATCTGGTGCCCGCAGCCCCAGGACGCTGGGCTCCTGCAGCGGAATTCCCGGAGGGGAAGAAAAGTGCTTTGTTATGCTGGGCTCTGGGGCCTTGAGTATCTCAGGGGGTGGGATGATGTCACTGGTTCCATATCGTTCATTTCCTTTTCTTTTGAAATCATTTTAGATTTATAGCAACGCTAGTAACAGTAGAACAGTGTTCCCATATACTCTCTACTCAGCTTCCCTTAAGGGCCACATCTTACATAGTACAACTGTCAAAATCAGGGAATTAACATTGATACCATGCTATCCACTGTTCTAATGAACCTCGTTCAGATTGTGCTGAATTCCCCACAAATGTCCTTTTCCTGGTCCAGGATCCAGTTCAGAATTCTGCATGTCATTTGGTGGCCGTAACTCCTTCATCTACTTTGATCTGGGCCGATTCCCTCCATCTTTGTCTTGAGACTTTTGAAAATACTGATCAGTTATTTTGTACAATGTCCTTCCATTTGGCCTTGTCTGATGTTTCCTCATTACAACTTCGGTTTTAATTCGTAAGTAACCCTTGTTCATTGCTGAACACTCAGAAAATACAGAAAGAATTATAATCATGTCTATGCATATATTCGTATTTATACACATATGAGTATATATTTAATGGGTTTATTCGGTACATGCTCTTCTGCACCTGCTTCCTCCTTAAATGAGCGTTCCTAGCAGGGAGTATAGGACCAAGTGTGCATCATATCTGGGGTGCGGATGGGAAGGTAAATGGGAGAGGACGGGAGAATGTCCAGTTGGTGGTTAATTATTATTATTTTTTTTAACCGCGTCGCGCGGCCTGAGGTATCTTATTTCCCCAACCAGGGATCGAACCTGCACCCCCTTAAGTGGAAGCGCGGAGTCTTAACCACTGGACCACAGGGGAACTCCCTGGTGGTTGATTCTGATCCCCATGAGCAGGAGATGTGCTGGGCTGGAGGGAAGAGTGCTGGATAAGCCTAGCAGAAGCCCCTCTGTCCCCGGCCACCTGGGTATGCTGCCTGCTGCCACCCATGGGGCTGACCACAGAGCCCCAGGCCTTGGGGGGGTCCCAGACTCTCAGTCTGGGGGGCCTAAGGCATCAGGGACAGGGGTATGCTTTTCTAAGGCCATGAGTCCAGAGAGTAGATTCTCAAACTGGGAGCTCAGGCCAGCAAAAAGGGGCAGAGAAAGCAAAATCTATAACTCGGATTCAGATGTGGTCCATGATGGGGGTGGCCAGGGTGTACATCAGGGGTGACTGCAGGTACAGCTTCCTCCAGCCACTGTTCCCTAAGACAGAGAGGGTCTTCTTATAAAACGAGGGCCCCAAAACACAGGGAGAGCAGAGGGCTCCCCTGAGGCCTCACGCCAGCCCCCTGCTGCCAACAGCCGCCAGCTCTTTTGTATCAATGATGATGACAGACTAGGATGGCCCAGACACCAGGGGCTCTGCGTGTTCCCTACCAGCTCTGCTCCCCACAGCCTGCTGTTAACGATCTTTGCCTAAGTGGCTTTATTTTAGAGTTTTTAACATTAAAATGCACATTTTCAAACCTTTGTCATAGTTATAGATTGATAGGGAGTTGCAAAGATAGTTCCGAGAGGCCTCCCACACCCTTCCCCCAGCCTCTTCCTGTTAGTCACACCTTTTGTAATAACTCTCTCTTACAATATGACACCAGGGAGCCGACATTCTTAAGCTATGTCTCTACTTCCATGCCATTTTCTCACACGTGTAGATTTACATAACCCCTACCACCAAGACACAGAACCGTTCCATCATCATGAAGATCTCCCCTCCTCCTTCTGTTTTATAGTCACCCCATCTTGTCTTCCTTCACTCTCTCACCCCTGGAGACTATTAATTCCATCCCTATAATTTTTTTTTCGATAAATTTATTTTTATTTTTGGCTGCGTTGGGTCTTTGCTGCTGCACGCGGGCTTTCTCTGGTTGCGGTGAGTGGGGGCTGCTCTTCGTTGAGGCGCGTGGGCTTCTCATTGTGGTGGCTTCTCTTGTTGTGGAGCATGGGCTCTAGGCGCGCCGGCTTCAGTAGTTATGGCATATACATTTATTCATTCTTTTTTAGATTCTTTTCTCATATAGGTTATTGGGTGGATGTAATTTTCACGTCTCTGGGGAAATGCCAGAGTGAGTGTGACTGCTGGATTGTATAATAAAGTGTCTGCTTCACTACAGACAAACTGTTTTCCAGAGCGGCTGGGCCATTTTACATTCCCACCGGCAACGGATAAGACTTTGGAGATTTTAACATTAAAGTTTCTATTTTGTTTGGTTTACAGTTGAATTCAGATTTCTCATCTGAAAACAATGTTAATTTCAAAACGTAAGCTCCAAGCGTGAGGAGCCTTTGAATCAGTGCATTTTAAGGTGAGAACAGATGTCGTTTATTTTCTCCTTCATTCAGTGAGCAGACATTGTTTATTCCCTCCTTTCCTCAGTGAGTGTGGGAGCCTGCTGGTACCAGTGCCCTGCGGGCTGGGGACCAGGTGACTCACAGCCCCAGGGCCGGGCTCTTCAGAGCAAACAGCTTGTGGGTGGCCGGCCTGGGGCAGGGATCACGTGACCATTACCTGCCTGCTGTGAGCTGGCTCATCAGCTTTTTTACAAGATGAAAGGTGGACACACAGCTGGCCCTGGTGATGACAGCTGAGGGGCAGTTCTGTAAATAAGAGGCCAAGGAAGTCTTTTAACTTTCAACCTTTTCACTAGTGAACTTATTAATCAGATACTTGATTCATGACAAAGAAACAGCTAAGAAGGTTTCTAGAGAGTCAGCCAGTTCAAAGGAGAGTCAGTGTGGACACTCTGGTGTTTGATTCTTTCAGCTTTTTAATTTGCCCACACAGTGGTCAGAAAGAAATACTCTGACCACCCTAGAAGCTCATTCCAGAACCTTCCCGCTGGGGAAGCTCACCTTTACATCTTATCCAGATCCCCAGCTTCCCCTTCATTTCAGCCTGTTTCTTTTTCTACTCTGTTTATATGTAAAAGCCTGTTTGAGAGCTTACTGAGTCCCAGAACCGTCAGTCAACTGTGTGGGACTGAGAGAGGGAATTAGGGCTCATCTTGGGCCTGGTTTAGGGCAGGTACCACCCCTTTGTCATAACACTTCTTTAGAAGTTGAGTTTTCCAAAAGGAAAAATCCTTTCTCTTGTTTCCCTCTGCTCCCTTTTCAATTCTCCATACTTCTGAGAAGCACTAAAAGTAAACTCAATTTGCCCCAGCTTTACTTCATCTTTGTGGCGTCTGTCTTTCCCTTCATTGCACACCTGGTCCCCGGCCACGCCCCTGACCTTGCCC